GTAAACTTTGCCTCTAAATATCTGATTATAGTTTCAAGAAGTTATAGTTTAACTTTAATTATTCTCGACAGAAATCTTTAATAAGATTTAACAGAAAGATCAACTGAAATCTTCAGTTGCATTCTTCCCAACTGCCCGACTAATAACTTTAGTTCAAAGGATTAATTAAATAATTTCTTGTTTGATTATAACAACATACTCATGTAATCTAAAAGAATAATTAAAAATCGAGTGACCGTAAATCACCGTGTAAACACAGTTCGAGCAGAGATTGAGAAGACGCATTTCTGGGCCCTGATCGTCCCCAGGTTCCTCGGGGCTACGCACTTTATGCCCGAGCGTTGGCATAAATCAGCCGGAACGCGTATAACACTGTCTCGCTGGCTCTTCCTCGACGTATTTCGCCGCTCGTTCGAGCCACGATACACGCGCGAACCGAGCGTTTTCCGCGTCGAAAGCCGCGCGTGTGCGTGTACTCTCGATCCTTCCGACACGATCGCCGTAAAATCGATCCTAGCTCGATCGGACGCAACTACTACCCGCAGGATCGCGAGCGTTTTAATTGAATCGTGAAGATAGAAACAGGAATTAAGCAAGAGTACACGAGCCTTGATCGAGCATGCTCTGACTCGGCGCATTTACGAATCGCTTCCTATACAACCCCATAAAAGCGAGGAATACTTATTCAGTCGATCGTGGAGAGAAAAATGTCTCTATGCACCGAGTAGGTTCGAGTAGGTGCAGAGAATATGCCAGCGTGGAGAAAGGATTTGCGTTCATTAGTGATTATTGCTAACGATTATCATTAATTATTGTGAAATTATTTTTGGAGTTGATTTGAAATATTTACTGCTGTAGAATGCTGTAAAGTGTCGATGAGTGGATAGCCTTTCGAAATTTCAGGATTTGAAAATATGGTAACTAGGGTATGGATTTTGGAAAGTTAGAAATTTGAAAGATTGCAAATATAGAGATTTGGAAGTTTCAGAATTGAAAAATAGAGATGTTGAGAATTTTAATATTTGGAAATTCGAAGACTTAGAAATTCATTTAATTGATAACCCAGAATAGGGGTTTGATTATATACGAATACCCCACATCCCTCTAAGTGTAATTCCTATTTATGTGCCCCATCAAGCCCACCCTGCTCCCAGCTAGTTTACGAATGATGTGGATTCAATTTAAAGGATAAGAGGAAAAACAGAAGTTACAGGGATAAATCCAGTGAGAACCTGCTGTTGGTCTCCCTTTACCCCGGGTATCTCGGTCGCCTGAACGATTAATCTATGGGCGTGCGGTTAATCGCTTAACCGGTGCTCGCTCGATAGAACGGTTTCTAATTAGCGGAATGGAATGGAGGAGGCGTGATCGGATCGTCGAGCAGAGAAATCTGTTGCTCGTCCTCGGCTAAAGGGACGAGAGGTTGTGTTGCACGAGCCAGAAAACGTGGAGGGTGTGGGAGAGGAGCAACAGGCGAAAGCAAGGTGGCTCGTGCTCGGCCAGGGAATAAAGGAGCCGAGAAAGCGGGATGCTGCAAATTGAACCATTACGACTACCTACGCGACCAAATCGACCAGAGCGGCTAGGCTAGGATCCTTGCAACTGAAAAGAACATTCTTTCGAGGAAAATAACCACTTGTCCGGCAAAAACGATTTAACCGGTCCATCGAAGTACGAGTCAACGGCCTAGAGACAAAAAGAAAATGGACGGAGAGCATCTAGGCTCTGGGTGCTGCAAATTGAACCATTACGACTAACTACACGAGCAGATCGCTCGAACGCTCTCCGAGGAGAATAGTTACGAGCTCGTTGTAAATACCTTGCAGATTAGCTCGAGTTTTAACCCCTTGCAATAAAATAATTTCAAGTTACGTATACACCTTCTTACATCTTATTAGTAGTTAAAAATTTTAGTATCATATAACAAGGAATATTATACTGCGATACTCTTTTAATCCTTTAGCCAATGTACGCATTTTAAAATAGTGTGCTGTACTCTGTTAAAACATGCAAAGGGTTAGTACAATGAATAGAAATGTAGTGATGTATTTATTCTATCTAACTGACCAAATGTGGACTTCATCTAACTGCATTTCAAGGTAGAAATAAGCTATTGTTGGACAAAGTCGAATACTTAGCATACAGAAATTCTGAAACATTCCTTAGAGTTCATATCATGATCTTGAAAATTCGAAACCGTATTATCATTAGACAATGTAGTCTTTAATCTACTGGTAGTCATTTTAATTTCTTCCTATTATCTCCTTCAAGAAATAAAAGAAACAGACCTACTTAAGGAAATCCCAAAAATGGAACTGAAGAGGAGTGTCAAACCAGTGGCAACAAATGGAGCAATCGATGACAAATTTATGGAAGGCTAGATTCTGAAATACTCGTCCTAAAGGCAGGGTTTCCATAAGGAGCAGCTCGAACGAGTTCTCGAACGTCTACCATTAGGAGCACGCGATCGAGACACGCCTTTTACGAGTTTCGATTTTCACCACCAAGCTGACAGCATATGAACCGCGTCCCTTTGAAAGAATCAACGGTGGCCTCGCAACAAATAGCCTGGCCAGAAACGGTCGCCCAGAGCGGCAATATAATAATTGCAGGCGAGTCGAACGCGGCCTCGTTAAACGAGAAGCGCGAGGCCAACCTGCGTGTTCTTTCGAACTTCAACTATGCTTGGCGAACGCGACATAATGTGGTAATTTGTACCGATGAGAGGTCATAAAACTCGCGGATACCATATTCTAACACATCGACCCTTTAATCTCGATTTTCACCGGCCATCGTTAATTGACAGCGTTATACATGCAAATTGTTGCGTGTGCGATTTTGAGAAGTTTAATTGCTACTTTGTGTTACCAACTTTCTGAGAGTATAGATTTTTAATTCGTAATTCGTGAACTTTTAAAGTGGTTGATGTAGATATAAATGCAGATGTAGACTTTCAAATTGCTAAAGATGGAAATCACTACCAAACTTCAGACGATGAATTTATAAATCTATGATATTTTTAGTTTGTAGTCATTTTATGGTGAATATGTAGATCATGGAATACCTTCATTTCTAAATTTTCAAACCCAATTCCTTAATTTATGAATTTACAAATCCTGGAGTTCCTCAGTTCTTAAATGACCTCATTTCCTAATTTCCAACTCCTGACCTAACTTCAAAGACTCACTTCAAATTCTTACATCTACCAATGCATGACTGTGCTGATTTTCTAATGTCCAGGTCCCGAAACTTCTTAACTTCCACATTCCCACATACCTAAACCCCTGACTCTCCATATTCCCAACTTTCCACATGTCTGAATCGAGAAGTACATATCAAGACAGTAAAGCAATGAAAAACCAAGTAGTGATCTTCCTACCACAACTTCACCATCCACGTAAAACCTCCATCCTCCATTATTCTATCTACCCTATCAATCAATAGCACCCTAACAGTCATTCAATTTGACTTACACCCCTAATGACACAGCTAAGGATAGGTCACGATATAATGTTAAGTATTAAAGTCGTCGAACCGATGAAAACTGTTGGTGCAAGAAGCCGGGCGGTTTAACGGGAAAAAGGCGCGCGACCAAGAGCAAAGCAGCGTAAAAGAGAAGAAAGAGGGACGAAACGAAGGAAGAGCGAAGAAGGTGGGGTCGCCATGGTTGTGGTCCGCCTGGGAACGACAGGACCACGCATTGTGATCCGAGCTGCGAGAAGGCCACGCTAGGCTGACCCCAGGCTTTACATTAACCATCCACCGTGTACGTACGCACGTAAATGGCCACCCACCCCCTTGCCCTTAAGTCGTACCTGTTGCACAGGCTAATCACTGGCCCACGGACACGCTCTTTTGTCTTCTTTCCTCTTCCCTCGGACAAGGTTGCGCAACGGGCTAAACCAGGACTTTCTTACCGCCGTAAACAGAGTGGAACGTGGAACGCGGGATTATTCGAAAAAACTTCGACAACAAACGTACGAGTTACGATCTCGCATTCCAGCCGATAAACGGTTCAAGGTGACGAACTTGTCGATCTTCGCGATTCGTGAGAAACCACGGTCTTCGCGGTTCCACGACTTGGGAACTTTCTGCGGGAAAATGGGCGAAGGACACCTTGTGACCGTGGTTGGGGTAATGAGACAAAGTTGGAGCTCTTTGGAGGGAGAGAGGATTTGGTAATTAGGAACTTCAATGTCTGAGATTTGGAATTTCAAGAGTTTCAAAGGCTTAAGTGTTCGAAGTTTTGAGTCTGAGATTTTTAAACCTGTAGATCTTCAAATTACCAAGTACTCAAATTATCAAGTTTCATAGATCTTAGTTTCTGAGTATTCAAATTTTCAAATTTACAAATCTCTAATTTTCCAAACCTTCAAATTTGATATCCCAAACTTCACAAATCTTCAAATTTCACATTTCCACATGTATGAATCCCTAAATTCCTAACTTCCTAACTTTCTAACTCCCTAAATCCCTAAATCTCTAAATTACTGACTTCCTAACTCCCCAACTCTCTAAATCCCCAACTCCCTAAATTCCCAATTCCCTAAATCCCCAACTCTCTAAACCCCCAGCTCCCTAAATCCCTAAATTCCTCCATCCCTAAATCCCTAAATCCCTGAATCTCCAAAGTCACAAATTAGCATTACCTAATTCTGAAGCCTCCTTCACAAATTTAAGAATTTCCTCAAATCCTGTAAAGTACCATTCACTTCTACCCTTGTTTCGAACGTCCATTCAACAGAAGAATGTATCTTACGCAAGAACCAAGGCTCGTTTACGACTGAACGCAATTATTTTTGCAAAATACTCGCAGCAAATTACCCCCACATTATCATTCTTGAGTACAAGTTCTTATCAATAGAATGCCATTCACTTTGTCTACAAATATCTGAGCTACCTAAGTATATCTAAAGCCATTTCACATTCCGATCATAGAAGTCATTTTCTATGAGACTTGATTTTAATATTAAAGAAAGGAAAAGTGGTTTCAGACTCACCCTCTGGACAATTGCACTCGTACTCCAGATCGTCGATTTGATGACACGTGCCTCCATTTTTACATGGCGATGGATCACAGGGAATATATTCGTTCTCGCAATTCTGGCCAGTGTAGCCGCTCGAGCACATGCATCTGTAACAAAAATTTAATTACATAAACATATGTAGAAAAGAAATTCTTTTGACAGGAAAAATAAAGCTATTACATAATCTAATTATAATACTCTTGTTATTTGGAGAATAACAAATGTCTGTCACACACGGAAATGCCTGAACAAAAAATTCTTGGAAATATACTAAATTGGCCACAAGGTTAATTTCATTGATATTCAGATAATTTGTAGGACATACCTGAATCTCTACATACTGTATACATATATAAAAATACATACTAATGTATTTTAAAATACATAAAAACCTAAAATACATACTAATGTATTTTTATACATAATGTAAAAATTTTAATATGTAATGTAAAAATATTTTTATATGTAATCTTTTATATATAATTATATTTGTATAGTAGTATAAACAAAGCCACTTTATTTGTAAAATATAACAAGAATATGATAATATAGCAAGAGTATAGTGTACCAAGGGTATTCAAGAATAGTTAAAAGGTTTTACACAGATACAGTTAAGATTATCTGTTTCGATCAGATCGATTACACGGTCTAACGAAACCGTAATCGACAAAGAATGGATGAATAATTATAAGTTAATGAACGTGTATCCTGTATATCTCGAGCGTTAATTATAAGGCAAGTCTTGAATGCGAATTTGCCGGTGAGAGTAAACCGCAGGTCAGACACTCTAGGACATCGAATGAAACGCAAACAGGCGATTTTATTCGCGATGATGTCAGCAAGATTTAATATGATACGCAGAACTGCGAAAACTGTGTCGATTACGCTTATCATTTGCATCATATCTATGTCTCTAGTATACGAATATTTAATTACCGAAGTGTGATGCAAATTTTATTTTTTTGTTATGTTAACAGGGTTACACTAGGTTTATTTCTAGGTCTCAATATTTAGAACTTTCTATAATTTTTTATTAGTACATTTCTAGATTTCTATGATTTTAGATCCACGTGTACTTAGAACCTCTATATTTCTAGAGTTCAATATTACAATGTTAGGGGCATCTGTGGATTCTTATCTCCATAAATGCCTATAACACTTGGAACTACTATACTATATCTTTACAACCTCCAAATCTCGTTTCCAATGTCCCTAGATTCCGATAACTCTGAATTTCTATATCTCTGAATATCTGAACCATTTGGAGCCACGTGTCTCAAGAATCTCCACATCTCTAAAGCCTCATCTCCAAATTCCAATAACCCTAAATCCCTACATCTCTACTCCCACATCCCCAAATCCCTATATCCCCAAATCCCTATATCCCCAAATCCCTATATCCCCAAATCCCTATATCCCCAAATCCCTATATCCCCAAATCCCTATATCCCCAAATCCCTATATCCCCAAATCCCTATATCCCCAAATCCCTATATCCCCAAATCCCTATATCCCCAAATCCCTATATCCCCAAATCCCTATATCCCCAAATCCCTATATCCCCAAATCCCTATATCCCCAAATCCCTATATCCCCAAATCCCTATATCCCCAAATCCCTATATCCCCAAATCCCTATATCCCCAAATCCCTATATCCCCAAATCCCTATATCCCCAAATCCCTATATCCCCAAATCCCTATATCCCCAAATCCCTATATCCCCAAATCCCTATATCCCCAAATCCCTATATCCCCAAATCCCTATATCCCCAAATCCCTATATCCCCAAATCCCTATATCCCCAAATCCCTATATCCCCAAATCCCTATATCCCCAAATCCCTATATCCCCAAATCCCTATATCCCCAAATCCCTATATCCCCAAATCCCTATATCCCCAAATCCCTATATCCCCAAATCCCTATATCCCCAAATCCCTATATCCCCAAATCCCTATATCCCCAAATCCCTATATCCCCAAATCCCTATATCCCCAAATCCCTATATCCCCAAATCCCTATATCCCCAAATCCCTATATCCCCAAATCCCTATATCCCCAAATCCCTATATCCCCAAATCCCTATATCCCCAAATCCCTATATCCCCAAATCCCTATATCCCCAAATCCCTATATCCCCAAATCCCTATATCCCCAAATCCCTATATCCCCAAATCCCTATATCCCCAAATCCCTATATCCCCAAATCCCTATATCCCCAAATCCCTATATCCCCAAATCCCTATATCCCCAAATCCCTATATCCCCAAATCCCTATATCCCCAAATCCCTATATCCCCAAATCCCTATATCCCCAAATCCCTATATCCCCAAATCCCTATATCCCCAAATCCCTATATCCCCAAATCCCTATATCCCCAAATCCCTATATCCCCAAATCCCTATATCCCCAAATCCCTATATCCCCAAATCCCTATATCCCCAAATCCCTATATCCCCAAATCCACGTATCCCCAAATTCCTATATCCCCAATTCCACTTATCTCCAAATCCCTATACCCCCAAATTTATATATCTATAAAATCTATAAAATCCTATACCTCCACACCCTGTGAGTTAAATTGAAATATGGATGAAATTGCTACCACCCAAAGATTCACACATCTAATTATGATCCTCTACTTCCAATAAATTCCTAAAAGTTTCACAATTCCGAAGACGTGCAATTTTTTATTCTATTAACGTGAAAGCATCGGTAAGTAATGTGAACGTCGGATAATGGAAATACGATTCATTTCGATCGATTTCTCACAGTTCTCCCATTCGTTGACTCTCATCGAGGCAACACGAGACCAACGAACCGCGTTAACCACTCGAACAATCAATATTTATAATACCGGTTTCTGGCTTCATAACATCAAGTTTTTGCGTCTAATGCGACACTTTTTATGCACATATTTATGCTCATCGCGATAGCACGTATTAGTATACAGGTTGTTGCTCCGACGGAGATGGAATAAAATTTTTTTCGATATGCAAAGATTCTTTCGAAAACCTCTGTTATTAGAAAAAAATCCTTGGGTAGTTTTTGTTCAGTTGTTAAATGACAAATGTATTTTTAAATTTCAGCGAACGATTTCGAAAGACTTTGTTAAATAAAAATTCATTAGATTTGAAACAAACCAGTGAAAATAATAAAACATGATCACCTTTCACCAAATACAGAAATTATAGTATCTTTCAAAACATGAATCTCTGTGTTCATTAATTTTTCAGTCTATTTTCAATGTTACTAATAGGTGCTCTAACAATAATGAAATGCCTTAATTAACGTTACGATTTCCCTTTGATTGTACACTGGATTGCCACAACCAGACATTAAGTTAATTAAAATCAATGTTATGCGGGTTAGTCTTATTACAATTAATTAACAAAGCTGTCTATTATGAGGTATTGTTTCAGATTGATAGGTACACGAGTACTTTCTACATTCGCTATAATTCTAGTGTAATCGTAAAAGCAAAGTATCAATGATTAACGTTCCACATTCAGAATCGTGTCAATTACAGAAAGGTTTGAAAGTGGCCATTTCCCTTCTCCTAAAGGCCAACTTTATTTCAATGTTATTTTCTACGTGACCTATGCGAAAGTACCATTCACAATGTGAACGTAAACATTAAGCGTTACGTGTATCATTCGCGAAGATATCCTTTATATTAGGTTATCTAGTAATAGTAAATACAGATATCTACGATTATCCCTTTTTTTCGATGTATCATTCATTCCAACGGATATGTGGATCTATTTTATTCCTTATAGTTACCGTAAAATATTTCTACATTTACACACGAAAATTTACACATTTAAAATTAAAAAATTTACACACTCAACATTTTAGAATTTTTATTTTAGAATTATTTCAGAATTATTTCAGAACTATTTTAGAATTATTATAGAATTATTTTAGAGTTATTTTAAAATTATTCAGAATTATTTTAGAATTTAAAAATTGTTAAGATTCAAAGATTGGGATATTTGAATATTTAGACACTTGTAGAATTGTTGTCAGAATTATTATCATATTGTTACTTGTCAGAATTATTGTAGAATTTAAAAATTGTTAAGATTCAAAGATTGGGATATTTGAATATTTAGACACTTGTAGAATTGTTGTCAGAATTATTGTCATATTGTAACTTGTCAGAATTATTTTAGAATTTAAAAATTGTTAAGATTCAAAGATTGGAATATTTGAGTATTTAGATACTTGTAGAATTATTGTCATATTGTAACTTGTCAGAATTATTTTAGAATTTAAAAATTGTTAAGATCCAAAGATTGGGATATTTCAATATTTCGACACTTGTAATCGCGATACATATAACTTAGATCAACATTTTGGCGCGGAATTTCTATACGACACAATGGCGCGCAAATTCAAATAAACAAAAACGCACCTCGAGCTGGCAGCCAGTAGAAGAACCAAGAAGACGCGTGTGAGATACATTTTCTCTGAAAACTGATTCCCTCGGGTCGCAAAAGGACGCTGTCCTCATATTTTGACGAACACACGCCGTGCTACTCCATTCCCAGCGATCACCATCGTCATTAACTCAAACTAACCTCTGTTATCCTCAAATCCTCACTTTCAATATGCATATACAACACATCCACGTACACCTTCACACTGACACACGGTACAAGTAAAATAAAATGCACAAGTTCACACGCCGATTGCACTATTATTCTTATCACAAACTTGAACAGTCGTTGAGCAATGAATATCGAAAACGATCGTGAAAGCACAGTATCTCGGAAGAAAAAAAAATGGCGTCGGTATGTCCTTTTGCAGCGCGTAATCCAAGATTTATCACCGATTCAATTCCGTCACTGGCGTACGCTGTTTCTCTTCCTGATACACGAAGCACCTTTCCCGCAACTCCATTTTGAAATATCAGCCTTTTTGTAGCCGAGAGACGGATTAAAATCGGAGCCGTCGGTACATGGTGTTCCAAACGATTGCACGTAATTGTCCAAACGACCCGTAACACTGTTTCGAAAGTCAAATAAACTATATACGAATTGTACAACAAACTACGATAAATTCTATTGCGTCAAGGTTAAAAACGGAAGAGTAACGAGAAGTGTATGACGGGACGCGGAGAAAGCATAGCGATCGGAGTTTCAGCGGCAAATCCACGGCCGCGCTGTTCTTTTTCTCACGCTCGTTCGCGTCACTTTTGAACGCGGTTCACTCACAATCGTCCGCGTATAATCCGTGCACGATGTCGATTCGATTCGCTTCGCGTGACAGCGCGTACTTTAAACTCTCTTAAATTCGCTCAAATTGCCTCTATCCTGTGTTACGTCGGGTCGACGAGTTGCCATGACGGTTGGGGTGCGGGGCGTAGCCGAATCTCCGCGCCTTTATCGCGCTTCTGTCATCTCGGCCATGTGCCAATACATCCTTACGATTATCAACCCCCGATACACTTTTGCGCGATAATTTTCCGGTCAAACACAAACGGGAGCGAACAACACAGGGTGCGAGACGCGGTACGCAACAACGCTTGCCGGTCTCTTACGAACGCGACGCGCCACTGTGAAAATCCCACGGTAACCGGAAAAAAACCAAATATCGTAGTAACTGCAGTCACTTGACGCAAACACTGTCGGGAAACACGGTGTAATGTCACATCACGTTGCCACCTGTTTCCGCGCGAATCGTACGCGCTCGGTGATGGACCGGAAGGGTGAAATCGACAGAGACGCGCGTAGAACGTGTATCGTTCTTGAACGGCTGGCGACAGACTAACCTTACTTTCAGTTGTGGGCCGCCCAGAGGGCGCCGTGGTCGTAGATGACCCCTCTGCTGGCGTCACAGCCGATCTCCTACCCCCACCAGTTATCGTTTGGGCCGTCGTGACTTTGTTTTCCTTCTCGTTTCGCCTCACCACCCTCTCGCTTCTGCTCGCGCTCGTTAACCAAAAGGCCCCATCGGCTCGTTCCGTCACCCTTCGTTAATCTTCGACTATGTCTCGCGGCGTCCCGCTCGTACGCGTCGCAACCTCGTAAGGTGCTCTCTTTTCAACCTATCTCGTAGGGCCCTAGCTCGTAGAAACGATGCGGAATCGTTGCGTGCATCTCGGGTCTCTGCCCCTATATACCTCCAGCTTCGTTGATAGTATGCAAGAATTTTGCTAATTCGATAGTTACACGATATTCCGCCGAGCATGTGTACCCGAGGCATGGCGGACAACCAAATTTGTCACGCGTTCCCAGCATTTTTGTCACGGCACGCTAATTGCGTGCATTTTCATGCAGCGACGGAATCCTGCGAACTGTACACACTCGTCGTCGATACTGCATTTTACTTCAACATTTTTAACACGATTAGTTCGTTTAAGTTCTCTTATTAGTTTGTCACGTTTCATTGAATTTGGACATTTATAATAATTATCGAGATTATTCTTAAACTTTGTTGAAAGACACTTATACCCTTTTCTTCAAGAAGACACAAAATTTAATAGTTGATATATGTCTCTAATACTTGACTTAAACACTCATATCATAAAAGATATCATAAAAGATCGCAATAAGTGTTTACTAGACCACAGATTATGCATTCATGACATATCTGCAAAATGCAAATAAATTATATAAAGTATGCGATCATCTATGAATTCAATGATTTATCTTTATTTTGCAGACTGCGATATGTCATAAATGCATAAATATTCGATTACATCAATGATCGTATAAATACAAATGAGCACATTGTATCGATGAAAGAATATTAAAGAACTTTATATAAACAATCTTTTAAACTGCGCAAAACGTTTCATAACGTCATGCAAAATGAATTCTCAAATTTTCCGTATAAATGCTAGCGAAAATTTACACCTCCAGGAAAGAGTTCCGATTAATCCGTTCTTATGAATATTTATGCACCCTTGGAGCAAACAGGCCGGAAGGCAGAAGCGTGCCGGAAACACGAAAATTCTGATTAGAGCGTGTTGACCAGCTTAGGAGCATCGGCCGACAGTAGACGGGTAATTTGAAAAATTTAATTTTCACTTGTTTACACGCATTGTGCGAATGGCTTGCGGGCATCCTACAGGCCGGACGATGGGGTTCCGAACGAGGGGATCATCCCGGATTTCCCCTACCTACCCAGCAACCCTACGAGTTTCCTGACCCGACCCACGTTCTCTGCTCTCCCTCGTCCGATCCATTATCACGCATCGGTGGCTTCGAATGATTTTTCGATACATTCGATTTTCGAGAGTCTCCGATCACACGTAGATTACCGTGATCTCTAGGTTCAATTGCTCCGGCGAGAATTCGCTCCACTTGCTTTATGGTAAATACCGTGCATTGAAATACACGGTGCCTTCAGATATTTAAATTATGGAATGCTATGAAAGGCTTCGATCGTAAAACCGAATTATCGACTCTGAGTTGCATTGCTGAAATAGGACGTGCTATTTTTTACATCCGAAATTTCATTGAACGGTTCTAATAATGATGACGGTATTTTAATGATGGTATTATATACAATACGAAGATGTTGATATAAATATTTTTAATTTATTTAATCTATGATAAATTGTATAATATAAGACTACCCTACGAAAACTCATCGGATTTTGCTCAGTATATTCTTCGAAGAAGATACAGAAAGTGATTCTCGTGCGACAGTAGGTGTTTCTGTTACTGTCGAACCAGTCCACAGGTATCGAAAAAGACAAGCACGACCCCGAAGCGGTTCGATTTCAGCGTCGAATCGAAGGGTGGGTTAGGCACGTCGATGTTTATGTGTCTCTGTTATATGATTCATATTGGGATGCCATGGAGGCGGACCACGACAGGAGGAAGTTTCAGCATGGGTCTCGAGCAGTCAAAGGTAGAAAATATGTCAGAAATGATCCGGGAACCAGTTGGGATGCCGATTTTCGAGCGGCCGACGCACGCAGAGCTTCCCTGTGGTTAAAAGAAGGAAAAAAATGAAACGATCGAAGAAGAAACAAGTCACCGGCAGTTTTACTTCTTTGCTCGACCATTCAAATTCGAATTTTTACCGAGAAATATAAAAGTGCAACAAACACGATCGTATATTTCGCAGGTCGAGTTTATCTGACATTTGACACTGTCCGGTTACAGAAATATAAATGCAGAGATACGTAAACATACAAACAATTCGAGCACATAGATGGGATATTCCAACAAAATATCGAAGAAGATGTTATATTAAGGGCGGCCATAAACGTTTTATTGCCGAGTTAAGAGCAATCCGACCAGTTCTTTTGTTCTTTCGTCCGACTTTATTCCTCTCGATTTGTACGCTGCAGAAAATATAAAATAAAAGGTTTACGATGCTCAAGTAATTTCGTTGAGGAACGGGTGCAAAAAATTATCCTTTGGAACGAGTTTTGTGAACGAACTTGTTTCAATTTGGGAATTTAGCAAATTTATTGTGGGTTCTCAAACAAACCAGTTTCAATTTGGGAATTTAGTAAATTCCAGGTTCTCAAATTATTTAATTTGATTTAATAATTAGAAAATTTAAAAGAAACAAAAATTCTCAAACATAAATCACTGAGTAAACGCAAAGTAATTTATTTATACCGTGTAAACTGTTACATGTAGAAAGAAATCACCAGAAAAAGGGGGTCGTTTTAAAATTGGCAATATTTTACACAGTCGACAACAAAATCAATTTCCATCGAAAGCAAGTTCGAAAGGATCAGTCACGGTGAGAGGTTATATTTCAACGATTTCTTTTCTCCTGTGCGACAATAACATTGCAAAATGAAGTCATTTGGGTTCGAAGCAACGCACAAGCATCCCTGCAAAACCGTGGATAAGAACGGGGCGTCTCGTGTGGACGACAAATGCAAAAAGGCTGCGAAACTAATGGGACAGGATTCGAGGGGACGAATCGATCGCAGTTTGTCACGATCGATCTCTGACTTATCATGAACTTCTTTCTTTGCTCGTACGCTTTTAAGATGGCTTTACATATTCCTGCGATTAAAGTTTTATTTTTTTACATGAATTTTTATGGTCTCTTGATTTACTGTTTTGTTCTTGTAAGGTTTAGACGTTGCTTAAATGATAGTAGCTGTATAATGAAGCAAAGTATTGTTTTGTTAGGACAATTTTATAAAAACTTAAAAATAGTACAATATTATAGTAACATAATATATAACAAATATAGTTGAACATAATATTTTCTTCTTTTTAAGAAAGTGAGTATATCTAAAGAAAATACTCTAATCTGTTTTTAAACTGTGTATGAATTAACCTTTTGCCATCAAATTTATTTGTCAGGTGCGTCAGTCAAAACGAACTCATAGCTATAATGTTTAAACAAACAATAAAAATTACAATGTTTTAAATATTTTATATTCAGCGATCCTTATGGTTGGACTTGAATTTGAAGTTCAAGAATATTAAAAATTTGAGTAAAACTTGTAATATTTGAACTGTGAGTGCGTCACGAGTGCGTCTTATCAAAGTACGACAAGGGATTAAATAAAATTAATCAAAAGCTTAAAAAGCTGTGTAAACTGAATATATAAATAAAATTAGTTTGTCTAATTGGTAAAATTATTTCAGCTAATTACATGTCAGGTTTAGATCTGACATAATCTTGTTTCTATAAAAATAATAATTGCAGGTTCGACCGAACGTACAGAATAATTCAGTCATTCGTCCATTTGGTGCAAAACCAGCACCAAATAAAAGGCAAAAGGAACCAGCAGAAAGAAGACCAAGAAGAGAAACACCGAGAAAAAGTCAAAACGCTGACCAGGTACGATCAAGATCGAGCATCCTGCGAGGAATTAATCGAATCTAAAGCGATATCTCGACCCGTTTTGTCATTAGCAGTCCCGAAAATCGATACGAGCCATTACATGATTACCTGGTCGATTTATTTGACAGGAAATTGGAACGCGAGGAGATTGAAATCGAGTTTCGAAAGAGACGACATGCTTTAAATCTCGTTCTTGATCATATTTACGAGCCTATCAAGCGGTCAAGATGAAAACATTCTCGCGAGGAATATTAAGTGCACTCTGGGTTTAATGATAACCCGACTTTAGCTATTGATATGGTTGATCGTTATAGCTTCATAATGCTTTATACAGAAATGATATCATTAAATGGACGTGCTCTGTTTTATAGCTAGAATATTTGTAAATTATGTACATCTAGCTGGGTTATTGAAACTGTGGATCAGCAGGTTCTTTATATGACTTTCTTTAGGTTCTTTATATTATTAGATCGCTACTGTTGTATCTAGGTTTTTGTATTCGTAGATTGTTGTATTCTTGAATTTTTAGATGCGTGGTTTTCTGTGTTTGAAGGTGTGTTTATTGTGGAGTCTTTGTGTCCACAGATTTGTACATCGTCAAATCCCTACATTTGGAGATCTCTACATTTTCAGATCCTTACATTTGGAGATCTCTACATTCTCAAATCCTTACTTTTCTAAATCTCTGCATCCTCAGATCCCTACACCCCTAGATCTCTACATGCCCAGATCCCCACATCCTAAGATCCTTACATTTCCAGATCTCCACAGTCTCATATCCCTACATTTCTAGATCTCTACATATGCAGAATCCTCATCCTAAAATCCCTACACTTCCACATTTCTACATCCTAGGATTCCCACATCCCTGAATCCCTACATTTGCAGATCTCTACATCTGCAGAATCCCTGCATCCCCTTAATTCTACATCCTCAAACACCTATGTCTACATTCCCAAATAGCCCCAAATCCATA